AAAAATAATATGTGATAATATGTGATACAATATACATTGTAGTGTACATGCAACTCATTCTATGAAGTGGGATCACATTTCTTGCAGAATATCATAACTGTTGTGATGAAGACGGCTACAAGTACATGTTTTGTGCATTAATCCCCAAGTTCCATAATATGTACATGTACATGTACCATGCTGGACACAACCAAGGCTACGGGGTGTAAGTTCATGAAGTTTCCATCCTACATGTATGTAAAGTAGATGTATCAAGCGTCCTGGAGAGAATTGTCAACATGACAGGTTACATGTACAATCACTTGATTTTTCCTGTATGTAACTGTAAAATAGCATTTTCATTTTCTCAGCCTCAATTTTTCTTCCATTTTGCGGGCAACAGAGTGACCAGCTCTGCCCAGGATTCAATCCAAATTGCAGCTCACCACACCAAAGATTTAGTGTCTGCCTGAGAGGTTTATATTACGTTTCTGTAACAGGGGCCTATGTACCAGAGCCAATTTGCTACAGAACCAATGACATACATGTATGAAAAGAAACAGGCCTTTATTAATATTGGTATTAAAGTAACACCTTCCCCAGTGCCAGCAGGTGGCAACTGTCCTGAAAATTCACAAGGCCTTCAGTCATAGGGGATGTATAGTGAGACTGACAGACCGAGAGAGTGTGAGTGTACGTGTCTGTACTATTGAACTTTGTAAGGGGGGGGGCTTAAGGATAATCATACTGTAGGTGTCTTGTATTTGGTACTGGATTTCCTGAAATGAATCAAATGGCACGTCGTCGCTGCTCTGTTTGGCAGACCAGATTATTTATATGCCAGATGATAATTGATGATAAATAAGAGGACATCAGTTACTGTGTCAGTGAGGATAAATCATTCCTCAACCTCTCCTTTCCAGGGTGGTATAGATTTCAGTGACTTCACAAGAGTCTTACAAGGAAACACAATCATTCAAATTTATATGTACCTTGAGCCTGAAATATATCAAGTACGGATACTATTAAACTACAGGTGTAACTAATAGATGAAAAAAAAAATTAATATAATACAGGTTCCCTGAAGTTTCCCCCAGAAAAGTCAGAAAGGTTAAAGTACATGTAATGTCCAGGAAACATGTTGCACATGTGCACATTTCCTTGCAGGAGGATTCCCGTTCAGGGAATAAATTACCAGTATGTTATCATTTACTGGGCAAATTTCCAAATGAAATCTACTCCTGTTCAAAGACCCATTCCTTTGAAGTGTGAAATTATATCAGCTCTTTTTGGTTGTATACACCGAGTGGTTCTACTTAAGGAAAAAAATGCAACTTCTTAGTAATCGACACGTTGATCGATTTGTTGAATAACCAAATATTACTTGTGGGCCTGACATGCTAGAATTGTAGGCATCAAAAGTCATGCTTGAGTAACTGTGGGTGAATACTGTTATATTGTACATGTATCTTTGGACAAGATTTGTTTAAATAGAGAAAGGATTAACTCGCCGTAAAAGTATTAAGCTCAAACCAACTGGAAGGAGAACTCAGTGCCACTTAAGTCAGATTGAGAAATTTCAATGAAGCAGCAAACGCTTGAGTAAACTAGTTCTTTTGAGACCCCCTGCTCGTTCTTAGAAGAGATTTTTATAGGGTGCTACAGTAAACCTTCATCACATTGTGAGATCCACTGAGTAAGCCTTTTCATCATACCTGGTATATTGAGCAAACCCTTTAATTAACCCTAACACTCCTCAGTCCTCCAACAGTTGAAGGATTGAGGAGTGTTAGGGTTAAAATGTTGTGCCAGGTCACTCCCTTTCCTCAATTCCTCTTGTCCATCTGCACGCTGCAGCTGTGTGCTCTTAGTAAGTTAATACAATTTGGGAGAATGAAATGAATATTGGCCCTGACATTCTCGTCTTGAAATTAACACCATGACAGAAAGAAAAAGGTGTTGGCACCATTAATATGCTTTAAGCTGGATAAGCTGTAAGATCAGAAATCTTTGGTTGACACAATAGTGAATGTGTATGTACTCCCCTTGTCTTTCTCTTGCTTGATGTCAGTTGGAATCCTCCTTTGATCACTGCACGGGTTTCATCTCTGCTTGATTCCACTGTCCCCTAATAGGATATTGATGAGTGGCTCTGCTCCAGTCTCCTGAATCAAGCAGTTCTTGAGTATAGCACCTCCCCACAGGAACTGCATTTACTTCACATGTTCCTCCAGTGTGTCCTGGGCTGTTTGAGGAATTTTGTTTTGTTTCATTTGTTACAAGTTCTTAAAAAAAAAAAAAAAAAAATCCAGCCGCTCCCTTTAAACAAAAGATGTGTTTTCAGGATTGATGAGCATGCTATATTAATGTCGCAGCCTCTGTGAGGAGAATGCCACGAGAGACCTTGTAATTGGGGCATGCATGTATTCTCGTAGGACCTTATTTGCTAGTAATGAGTTTGTCTTCTGTGCCATCCTCAGCATGCATGTCTGTGCATAATTTTACCAAGGGTATATTTCATTCATTAGCTGTTTTACTTTCTCCCCCCCCGTCTCGTGAAAATGGGTTTAGTCAACATTAGGTCTAGATGCAATCATTACACAGTCGCTGTATGAACTGACACTGAGTGCCTCCCTCGCTGTGTGGATGTTGTAATTTATGTATCTGTGATTGTATCGCATTTGATGCATTAAGGATAACCACAGTGTTTGTAGCAGAGGTGGCCGTGGCTTATCCGGATTTAAATGCATTGAGAGAAATGCACCTCAAACTAGACAGAAACGGGGAGGGGGGGTTGCCTCTGAATCCACTTGCAGTGTGTGTGGTTGCAGACCAAGAAAAAAGCTACCATAGACAACAGGCCTAAATACATTAACCCCCACTTCAGTAAATCCGGAAAACCACAAGTTTCTCAAGTGTTTAAGACACATACCGAATTAAAGCTCACTTTCTCATCTTCCATTTTCCTTTCAAATTTTAGTGGCTTAATTGGTGACTTTTGAAGATATTTCTCTCCAGGGATGATCACCCCTCAAAACAGTCATGAGGCCCATTGGCATTTTGAAACTTGATGCCTGCACTCCATTGCAAAATGAAGCAATTCAAAGGGGCTTGTTTTGTCCAGTGCTCTCAGAACTGCAAGCTGGCAGCCTCCATACTTCATTTTACTACTACTAATAATAATAACAACAAGCACTTTTAAAGCGCCATCTATCTAGCAAACCATTCCGAGGCGCTGTATTATCATTATTCCTGCACATTGGGCTCACACATCATCTGAACATTCCTGAAACCATCTCAACTCCCTGGGGAGTATACTAGCCCGGTGCTGCCATTTCGGCGCAAACGGCTAAACAACTGTGCCTGCCCTCACAGGTACCCATTTACTCCTGGGTGGAGAGAGGCACACGGGGGTAAAGTGACTTGCCCAGGATCACAACATGCTGCCACCAGCTGGATTTGAACCCCTGACCCTACAATCAGAAGCTACAAACCCTAACCACTAGGCCACATGCCTCCCATTCTAACCGTCCAGTCCACATGCCACAAAATTCTCCAATACTTGCAGAGAATTTTATAGCATGGAGATCATGGTGTGATCCTTTCCAGGCAAGTTGGCATGGATTTGTTCAGCGGGGGAAACGTTTTGGTCAGGAAACAGTGTCAAGTAAGTTATTTCCTATGGCGCTCATGTCTTCTTTTGATTTCAATTTCTTGGCTGCAGATTCGACCGGACGATGCAGGACATTGTGTACAAGCTGGTTCCAGACTTACAGCTCAGTGAGTACCCATGAAAGGCTTTATGCGCAGACTGATAGAATCCAATTTGTACTGTTGCTAGGCTGAGCTTGCACCATGTTAAGTGTACTGCAGTGAGAATCATTCATGTTTGGACTAAGTTGTTTCAGGGGTGTGAAACCTCAGCTTTTTTGATGAGTATGCAGAATTTCATTCTCCACTTTTTTTGCCTTTGACAGACTGGATTTTCCTTGTTTTTCTTCCTTGCATAAGCGCCAATTTTTCCAATTGTTTTTTCTATCGATGTGACGCAACGGCCAGGCCAGACTGTGTACGTGTACATCCTTGTTCAGACACCGAACAATACCAGTATTGGAGCTCCGTAATGCACGCAATTGATTTCTCACTGTACATGCATACAGTGCATACGTGCATACAGTGATACGTACGGTATCTGTGGCTCGAAGCGCAAGCCTTGTGTGTAAACAGTGTCCTAGAACTATCCCCTCATCGTGTTGTGATTGGCTGCCAATGAAACATCAATATTCATTCATGTGTCATTAGGACTCATTACAGCCGTTCCTGCGTGAGCGGAAGTAGTGACTAACAATCTCTACTATAACTTGCGCTAGCATACCTTTTTTTTTGTGAATTTACGGCTTGAAATAAGGTTAGTGCATTTTCGCTTTCACCTACAGAGGGTTTCGTGACAACTGCCGCAGGGCATGCAAAGTCATTGTGTTGTGCATCATCGTGTGGGTTTTAAGTGCTCTATGTACATTTTTTTTGTGTGAACTTTCAAACAATTTTTGGACATTAACTCATTCAAATGTCACTGCAACACAAATGTATAAATGTCCGAAGAGGCTCTGACTTGGACACAATCTTCGACCACACCTATCCTGAAGTTACCAATCGGCAGGAAAAAAAAACCAACGGATGGAGTACACCGTAGACCATCAAAACCATTTTTTAATTAAAAAAAAAAATTAATACAAATTTCCCACCTTAATTTTTGACCCCGAAACTTTATAAGAAAAAAAAAAGGATACTTCCCACTTACCCAACCGGATTTCTTTTCCAATGTCATAGGAAGCACAACTGTTATTTTGTTTGGCCTAATGTTACTCTAGTCCTTTCTCACAGGTCTTTGACTTTGTAATCGCAGTTACAAATGTCGAAATGTTTTGAAGGATGTACCAGATCAAAGGGGTAATCATTGGGCTGTGAGAAATGCTCAAAGCATTAATTCACTGTGTGAAACTGTTATGGACGCACCTGTCTCGTCTGAAATGTATGGAAATTTCAGACTGAAGTGGTACACATATTTAGTGCACTGCAACTTCAACAGCTGCAGTTGTCTTCCTTTTTGTGGCTACAATATAGCAACATCGCTTAGCCGCACTTAGCGGGTTGTCACAATGCCGTCAATTCTTTTGCCTGTCTGTCTTAGTCGTTCAAATGTGCAAGACACAGAATGGCTGCAGATGACAGTTTCAGACATGTTGTTTTCCAGTTATGAGCATACATTAGTTTGCGCCATCCTCACATTAACACCCTAGACCTATATTTGACCTGACGTCGTTGGTATCTGCCTGTAGGAATGCTGAGTTGAAGCCATAAAGCTAATGTAAGTTAATGTGAGCTCTCTGTAAGCTGTCTTTCAGAGACACAACGCAGTGCCTGTCAGACTCGCATTGAGTCAGCCCACGTGCGATGTTAAAACATGGCTTGCATTCTGTGTAACACAATGTCGACTTCCCTCCCCAGATGAAAAGAAAAAAGAGAAGCTTTTCTACGAGTCGTTTGGCAAGAAAGAGCCGGAAGAGAAAGAAGGTGAGTGTCTAGAGAAGGATTCCCAGTCAGGACTTGAAGTGGCCAGGCAGAGACTAGGCCCCCTGCTAAGAACCCCCATGTGTGTGTGTGCATGGCCGTGTACTGATCATGATGTACATGTATTAGCCAGATGTCTGATACATCATGTAGGCACAGTCACTCTTCCCTTTTTCCATTGAAGTCCCTTTCAGTTCCGATTTTTTCTTTTTTTCTTTCGGTTCTTTCCTTTTTTTTAAGGTCTGGATTTATCAATTGTCAAAGGAATGACTACTGTAAATGATTTATGAGTGAAATGGCGTGGGACTTGCATTAGTTATTATGTGTGGTTGAGTAGTGCCTGAAAAAGTGCAAGGAGCAAGCTTGACAGAGATGCGAAAACAGACGCGCTGCTTTTTTCTGTGCACTGTGAGTGATGGAATAATGAACAAGATTATTTATTGTGAAGCCGAATGGATAGTCCAAACTAGCGGAGTGATACAAAGTAATGTAGTCTTTCAGGCCTATACTACAGAACTTGTGTTCATGTGATGGATGCCATTTGGAGAACACAAGATGTACACATCGGTATGGGACATTTCAAGAAAACGTGACCAATTCATGTCATGAAGACAGGCGAAGAACAAGTGCGAAGAAAAGGGACCTCTTTTCTGAAAGCAATCGTAAGACTCAGATATACAAAGGGCTCAGTTAATAGGATTCGTGGAAAATGGTGGTTGGTGTGGATGGACCAAACAGTACAGAAGAGTTCAGTTTACCAGCAAAAGCCAGAAAAAAAAAAAGAAAAAAAAGAAGAAAAGAAGAACTTGCCACATCCAGCATTTTGGCAGTAACATTATTGTCAGTTTGTTGGACTTGCAATACATGTCTGTCATACAGAAGGGAGTAAACTGTCTAGAAGTATTGTTCTCAACAGCACTTGGGAATTGTGCGGGGTTTCACTTCGAAAAATAAAAGAAAAACAAGTCGCTGATTTCAGTTAGTTACATGTATGGGTAGTACACGCCGGTGACTATTTACGGAGTACCATTGGTTTTTGTGCTAGCAGCTATTTTACCTGTTGGCTATGAGTTTCAGTGGAGACGTTTGTTTTCGATTGGGTAATAGTATGTACATGTTGGCCTACTTGGAACTATGATCTGGAGGCTCTAAAATTACATCTGGTATACAGAAATATGCATAGAACAGCAAGCTGATGAGAGACACTGTGGTGGACTGTACATGTACAATACATGTACATGCCCCATCCAGTGATGCGAACTCTATTAATGATGGGGAGGGTATTTCCCATGTTGGGGGAGGCTAATGCAAATGGGCCATTGAGTCATCCAGTCTTATATAGTGACTAAAAAAACTAAGTGCTGGTTAATATTGATGTCCGTCTTCCAGTAAAAGCAGGTGAATGAGTGAATTGAATGAGAGAAGGGGAATAGCGAGTAGAGCACCCCAACCACTCTGCAGATGTTAATGAGGTGCTTCCCTCCCCCTTTTCAAATTCCAGATGACCCAGAATTTGAGGATTTTGCCAGTCATTTGTTTTCCCATGCTGCTAACATAATATCTGCACGTAAGGAATAACAACTTCATTGATATCGTCATGATATTTACATTGGGCAAATTACTTGTAGCCGCTGTGTTTATTTGTAAAATGTTTGTTTGTTTTCTTCAACGTAAGAAAAAAAAAAGGAAAGGAAAAAAATAAAACCAACCAACTTTGTAAGGATTTGTTACATTTGCTTTTACAACTCACTTTTTATTGAAGGATCTGTTACCTTTACATCAGCAAAAATGCAGTGGTGGATTAGGGATGTGTCAACTGATGAAATAGTTTATTTACAGTGCATTGGTTGACGCTCCAGGAAGTGCTGAATTTCTGTCACAAATAACAAACTAGGGCATGCATCCTGGAGTAGGGTTTCAGTGAGTTCTGGGGATTTAGTCAGAGATTGGAAGATGTGCTTAAAATACGGTATAGAAATAAAATGTTATGTGAACTGCTGCCGTTTTTGTTCATTCAGAGAGAAAAAATGGCTTTGTATATCAGTTAGTAATTCTATCCTTTTGGAATGCTTGGCTTAAAGTACATGGTTTTTTCTGACTCTGCCCCAAAATTTAAATAACATAAGAACGGTCAATTCTTCCAAACATTTGCTTGGACAGCATGTGCCATCTTTTGGTAGATAAGCACTTCATGACCATTCTCTATTGAAGGGTTTTTTTCAAACAGAGCAAAGACCCATCGATGGGGGGAGTGACATGCATGTAGTTTCAGAGTTTGTGATGCACGCTTCAGTGTCTACAATGTCTCAAAACCCGAGTAATGTCTCCCATGCTGCGGCAAAAATGGAAACCAGTCACCAGCACCTTTAAATTTGTAGCCAAAAGACTCGCGGTGCCACGCGTGTACACCTTAGATGCCACTTGGGTTCCAGTGACTGATTTGTGGTTTCGACATATGCAAAAGCTGCTGAACCACATCTCTTATCTGTTACCTCATTGTTCTACTGCAACCATCAGTGAGGTGTAGAGAAAGAGAACAAGTCCCAGATAGGGCATGAAAGAATCATTTTTTTTAAGGAAATGGCAGAAATAATTGCGTGAATAATTTTCAGCAGCATAATGTAAACTACAAACAATTTGTAACGGCAAAGATATTTCCTGGTGATTAACAACTTATTAAAAGTACACGCATGATGTGGGAAGAGTTCCTTCACCAACATGTAGTGGTTTTCCTTTGTACTGTCTGTATCATTAATTGTGTTTTTTATTCAGCAATTCACGTATGTGTATTGAGTCTATTAGAGGTGGAAGCAGGGGGGCCAGTGGTCCCCCCACCCCACTTTTTTTTGCATGGCCCCTCCCACTTTTTACAGGGTCTGCAATAGGTTGGGGCTTCATGGATGGCCTATAATTGCTGATGCCTGATGGTCTAACAACTGGCCCCTCCCACTTTGAAAATCGTTCTGTTGCCACTGTACTACAGACATGATGACCATGTTCACCCTGCTGAAATGTTGTGTAGGAAATATGCATTACATGTAGGTACTTGTACATGTAGTCAATTTTCACGTCAATGTGAAATTTGCGCAGTCTGGGAAGGGGTATTAAAATTTATGAGCTTTCAAATTTATGGGCTCTGTAATTCCCCTCATCTACATGTGTCCTTGTAACTTGTGGGGCAAGAAATATCTCACTATCCTATGTTTAATAAAAGGCCAGGATGCTTGAAATGTTTTGCTTAGCAATTAATATATGCCTGAGTCATTTCTTGTTTCGTTTGGTTCATCTTGATGGCAAAGAAAAAGAGTTTGTCTTCCCTTGCAGCCCTGAACAATTCCATCCAGCTACAGCATGTGCAGAGAATGTCCTTCCAATATACAATCATCATCAATTACAAATTTGTCCCTGCTTCCATCTCCTAACCCTCTCCCTTCCTCCTTGTGAGCATTTAGTGTACAGTATTTAGGACACTGCCGGAGGGCGGGCGTGCTCATTTACACCCTCCGATGCCTGTACGCATCATCAGCTTCGGCAGTCCGAAACCTCTGTCACATGTGCAGTGCTGCAGGAGGAGGGCCCTCTCGGCCTGCCTGTCCATTGATATTAGCGCAGGACTCTTGCATGCTTGAGGGCCCTGCAACATGGACAAAAGGTGGCCCTTTCCACACTCCAAAGATAGCTCAGCCATAGGCTGCCTTCCGTAGGCCTACGTGTATGTATTGTGTGTATTGAATGCAGGCGCAAGCCCGTGTACAGACTTTGTACATGTAGTGAGTTGCTGTGAGTGTGCACTGTACATGTACACATGGAGCTGTTTGGTAGTGGGCCTAATGTTGCATAAGGAATAATAGAATTAAATGTATACTGAGCAGTGTGGGTGTGCGTGTGTGCGTGACTTTATCTCATCCTAAGGTGCACCTTGTACATTATAAGCCAGTGCACCTGGGTATCAAGACCAAATGTCTTGCAGGGGGCTGTGGCTAACCAGCTCTGGGCCAGGAGCGTAAGGCACTACTGAGGCAAAAATCTTTCCTTGTTCTTGATAAATGGTCCCATTTTAAGTCCCCTCGGAGCTGTCAGCCGAGTTAATATCTCACACGACAACTTGTGCCTTGCGCTGCCCCACTACTCCGCTAAATGGCAGACTAGACAGCCGCTAGGGAGGCACTGTCAACCTGCTAATTAAAATGAACCTGGTAGATTTTGTGGCAGAGGTCCCATTCATTTGAAATTCAGATGAGGTGCTTCTGGTAAATGCGGTTTTCCTCTGCTTTGATTTCATTTACATTTGGATGCTGATGGGAATTTTTTTCCCTGACCAAGGTGATTTCTGCTTTATCATGTTTATGCATAAACAAAGTAATTGCGTTCTGTATTCGTCTGACAGAAAGCAATTGCCATTTGTTTTTCATGGCATAAACTGAAGGAGCATGATTAGCGGTTTGGAAAAGGGCCAGTTTCCTGCAGCACATTCTCCTTTTGAATGAAATGTGACTTTGGGTTGTAAATATATGGGTGTCACTCTGTAAATCTACATTTTACCTGATGCTACATTTACATGTACATCAAGAAACATCCAGGCAAGGCGAGTTATTGTAACACGTTTGAATCAATCAAAATGCCTATTGCCTGTTTGCAGGGTAATCATGTCGGCACATGTACATAAAGTGCAAGTCACAAATTGACCCATTTTCACGCTGTCATTTTTGAATACTTCAATATTATTTCAGCCACGATTCTGTGCTCTGTTGCAATTCCTCTAACAAGAATGCACTATGAGGTTGTGTGTGCTTATTCATGTAAAAGTTGGTCAAGTGCACCCTCTGCCGTACACATGACGTATCCTTTGCTTACGTGAGCTGACCATGTGATAGGTCTTGTGGAGTCTGTATTCACCTCTTGCTTTCCTCTTTCACCTCCTCCCCTCCCCTGCCCCTCCTCAAGAAGAAAACAAGGATGATTGCATCACCAAGGAGGAGGACTCGGACTGTCACCGCAGCGATGAGCAGGTCAAGATCTGTCTGGAGTGCAGTACGGAGCAGTTGCGGCCGCTGCGCAAGAAGTACATCCGCATCTCCGCCCAGGCCACCATCAACCACATCCGCAAGTTTGTGGCCAAGAAGCTCAAGCTGGAAGGCTTTCACCAGGTACGGTGCCGCCGTGCTGTTGATTGCCATTTGGTGATAGCAATCAATTGCATGAACAGTGCGATGGGTAACAAAGGGACCTCTCCCGTGGAAAGAATGTTAAGTTATCAGCTGTGTTGAGTAGTGGATCTAGCATTTACAATAGGAGGGAGAAAAGCACCCATCAACTAGGAGAGAGGGCGCCACAAATCGAGGTGAACATGAAAAAATGCGAGCAGGGCATATTGTTCGGGAGAATTTCTGTCTTGAAAAGTTATTGAATATTAAACCAGTTGAGATCAAAAGAACTCGGGCAAACACAAAAGAAAAAAAAAGGTATTTCCTTTAGGACGAAAATCCAAAAGGGGGGATACCATGTAACCCCACCTCCTCAGGATCCCCTACTGGTGTTGTGGCCCAACCCTCACGAGCTACGACTGGGATAAATGAAGCCCGACAAAAGGCATCCCTTCCTTTCATTCATCATCTGCCACTTGTGACCAGACCTGCCATGTCATTTTTTATGTGCCCGACTAACTGGACCACAGATCTATTTAACCTGTATGCCAGCTCCCAAGTGACACATTGTGCCCCTCATAACTGATATAAATATATGAAGCTAACAAAATATGATTACCGTTAAAAACATTCAGTCAAGTTTCAGAACTGCAAGCAAGAATAATTGGGTTTCTGGATTGGTTCTCCCCCCCCCACAGTTTGCTCCCTTTTTTATAGCAGTGATCATTTGGGTCCACTTTGCATGGTCTTATGTGAAATGACCAATAGCATTCTGCTTTTTTGTGGCTTGAGCTGTATATCATCAGAGCTCATATATCCTCTTGACCACTGGACTGAGCCCTGTGATTCAATCACTGACAAAGAGCTTCTTGTGGTTACCGCTGAGTAGTGGTTTGAGGTATTTTCATTTTCCGGGCCGTTAGCAATGCGCACTGCTGCATGTAATTTCCTACATGTATTTTAAATTGTGGTCTTTAAAAGTACTTAGAAATGTGTCAATTTTATTATTTTTTTGGAGCCACTAGCAGTGAGTAAATTTCAACCTGAAATGTAAGCCCTTTTCAGGCCCCCAAGCATAATGCCCATTAATGAAATGTAAATGTAAGCTTGTACCAATGTCTGATTTTATCCATTAAGATGTTCCAGCACTTGTCCTTTCACGTGCTTGACTTCTATAGGTTAGGGTGGATGTACCCTGCTAAAGTGGGATTTGAAGAATGACTACACACCGGTAAGCATGACTGGGCTTGTTCTAATTTGTACATTGTTCCCTGTGTTCTTCATTCAGGTGGAGATTCTATGCAACCAAGAAATACTAGGCAAGGACCACACGTTGAAATTTGTCTGTGTCACAAGATGGAGAACAAAGGTGGGTGTCTTCAGTAAACTTGCCCGTTTGATGTTAAGAGAATGCAGCATCTGTTGAGTTGCCACGTCTGTGACATTGCAGAATATGAACCATGAAGACGGAATGATCACAGTTATGAATTACTCGATGCTGAATTGGCCCTTGATGTGTGATAGCAGTAATGTGGTGCTTCCAGGTAAATGAGTCTAGTCAGCTTTACCCGTTGTATGCATAGGGCAGTGTACACAAAGGGGCACAGTTGGATTCCAAGTGTGGGAAAACTGAGCATAATTTACCGTGTCAGTCAAGAGTTTCGTGCATTACATTGCACTTGTAGCTGGGAGCCATGTTGAAACAGTGCATCTCTCTGCTGTTTCTGCCCAGTTCTGTTCCTCTTACATGCAGAAGCTACAGATGCCCACGATGTGCCATCAAGCCATTGAGCGGCTTACACAGCGCAAACAACCGAGAAACCGTGTTTATAATCCAGATATTTTGCCAGAGGCATCTTTTTTTTCAGTGTATAATTGTGGATAAGTGTACGCCTTCCTTCCCAAGCCAGCAAGCTTGCCAGCCAGTCATTAATAAATGCACACAGCAGCGGACCTCCTGGACTGTACGGCTGTTCCACTTTCAGTTCTTCCGCATGAAATTCTGCCCTTATAGCCTGTTTGTATTTTTCCATCGAGTTACGACTTCAACAGAGCCAAAAATGAACAGTACTTTATAATAGCTAAATGAATCTCTTGTGTGGGTTCAGAATTGGTGTTCTTTTTTGGTCCATTTCTGCCCAGTATCATACTTACATGATTTTAATATAGCCAAGGCATGCTTGTCAAGAAGGTATTCTTTTCCACTGCTGATTGCCACTGTTTGGGGTCTCGATCCATTTTATGCATGCATTTTTGACATGCCCTTAAAGCAAGTGCCAATGAATATTTTGTTTATTCATTCTTGCCCCTCCAAAACCTGAGCTGAACAAGTCACAGGTCTGAAAGCCATGCCCCTGGGTACTTGCTCTCATTACAATAATGCAGGAGGATTCACATATTTGAATTGGAAAGCCCCCAGGCTTTAAAGAGCATGGTTCATGCATATTTGCGCTGGAGTTAGATTCCTCCAGAGCGTGTTTGTCCAGGAATCTTTCGTTTTCTTCTTGTTCGTCCTTTTATGTTGGACAGATACTGTAGATGATCGTGCAATATCGAGTTCCCAATTGTTTGTGTTATGGGCACAAGCAATCTTGTTAGTAGCAGTGGGCTGAATCGAGATGTAACGACACGAAGCATAGTTGTCTACGTCTGCACACTTCCCAACAGGAAATCCTGTGCGTACTCAAATTGCGCAGCCAGCTTCCCACCCCCCCCCAAAAGAAATCTGCGTGGACAGATTAATCAGGGTGGATTTCACTTGGACAGTTGGCAGAGGATGCACAGAGAGAATTGAGTTTCCTTTTACGCACATTTGTTGCTAATATCTGTAATAACAAGAACTCTGAATGATTCCCCGTGTCTGTCACCCTGACCCAAATGACATTTATCTCTGCACTGGGAAAATACAAGGTGCATATTTTGTTGTGCAAATTACTTTGATGAAGGGCAAAACTAAATCTTTGGTGTGAAAACCTTCATTGTGAACCTGATTACGTTAGAATGAAAGACAAGAGACAAGATGACGAAATATCCCAAGAAGGGTCTGTTCGTTGTAGAATCTATGCAGAATGAGTGGAGTGCCTCTCTATGCCTTTGATCAGATACCCCAAAGCTGTCAGATATGCTAATGCAATTGGCGTAAATGTTGCTGGTTTTGCATGGCTGTAGAGCAGTGGAAATCATCTGCAGTAGAAAGGACACCTTGCAGGCTTGTCTGTGGTCTCATTGCTCAAGTGCACCAGTCAGTGTCTCAAATGAGTACCAGTGAGTCCCATCAGGTGCATACAGGTACCCAGTAGGCATGTCATGAGCGCATTTCTGATATCAGACAAGCATATGGCAGCAAGATAAGAGGCACACAAAGGAGAAGCTGACACTGAGTGCCAGAAAGTGTTGAGAGGTTTGAAATCACCCCTACAGCACAATTGTATACAGTTGTGTAATAAATATCAAGTACGGTCTCGGTTTCTGCACAAAAATGATGGATTGGCCCATCTAAATTGTGTACAAGATGAGCGCTCTTGTAATTTTACACAATGGAGGCCCACAGAGACTGTGCCAGCTTTCGTGTTTGTTTGGACGGGATATTTTCAGTCGAGATGTGCTTTTTGCATTTCCCTGCCGGTAAATCCCCCTCATTTTTTACCGGATACAGATTTGTCATTGTATTTTTTGTTGCTTGTCATTTCCTCACGTTAAATGGAAGCAGTTTCAAAAACTGTAAAGATGATATGCCACAAAGCCCGGAATAACATATGTTGAGTAGATCTCCACTAATGCGTTGAAAGAGAATCTCAGGGGCCAAAGCTGTCGGCCCTCCCAACCCCGCCGTTGGATTGAGACATACCAGTGGGAACATCTCAAAAGTTGTTCCTGCTGGTTACGTGTGTCCTCCCTAATCAAACAAATCCTTCACATGTACATTTTCAAAAGACTCTGACAGCTGAAATGGCAAAATGCCGGGTGAGGAAGGCTTTTTACTTGTTTTTATATTGGCTCTTCATGTGAAATCGTCATTCTCCAGCAAGGGTTTTTTTTTTTTGACTTACAGTGTCTCAAAAAATATCTATGGGGATCACTACACTCAGTGACCTTTTAGCATTTCTTTGCTTCAAGGTCTATTTGTGAACAGACATTTTGTGGTATACTTTACATGTACGTGGCCCAGTCTGACAAAATGAGTTGCGAATCACAAGAGCCATCTTTGACCTGTTCCATCAAAATGAGAGTAAATTCGCATCTTTCCTATTTTGAGGGTTAAAAGTCATATTGAAGCGGAGGTCAGTTTTGAGGTTTTGTAATACTTGAAAAATGTAACCCGTCTCGTATTTAATTCCAAATATTTCACAGGATCATATATTTCAAAATGTCATTTATTTGACAATAGCATTATTCGTGCCTGGTCTCAAATAGTGAAAATGTGGCGGGAACAAAAAGACAAAGTTGCCAGAATAATGTCACATCGTCACCTTATATTGTTACCTTAAGTGTTCCATGTGCATACCACTGGAAAGCTCTTATTTCTGCTGAACTCAAAAACGCCAATATTTCAATTTTTGAAAATTCCAACTTTCAGCTCATTTTGTGGTTACAGGTCACATATTTGAGTTTAAGACTTTGAGCCCTAAAGGCTTCACTTAAAAGACAATGTCAATCACTCGGAACCCTCAACATCTTTCACTGAAATGATGTCCCTTTTCAAAGTACTAAGATGAGTGGAGTGACACACCAAAACAAGCTCAGGTTGGTCTTCGTGATACAGACTAAAACGGCACTGCTGAAAGAAACAAGGGCGTAAAACTCATCTTGTGGGATCCAATCACATGCAAGTACGCAAGGCAGTGATCATTATAAGATCTTGACTAAGATGTTGACTTTTTGGAGTAAATTTTTGTTCCACATTTTGTTTTGACAGCAATACCCCCTGATGTTGGAATACAGACCCAGTATTACGCTATGACGGCAACCCTGGGGCCTGTCGTCGCACTGCCCATCATCACACCATCGTCCATATTAAAAAAGATCGGGGAAACAAGAAAAAAAAAGGAGAAAAATCCCAGAAAACTTTTTGTACAGCCGCAGAAGATAAGAGACTATTTTATATATTTTGTGAGATTTTTTCGGACGACTATCGAGCCAAACTTTTTATGCTGGAGCTGTTTTGTATATGTTATTACCAGCAGGGCTCTGAGTTTTTATACATGAATGTAATTATTGAGGAACACACAGTGTTATCCTTTGACCCCTGGAGGAATGTTACCTGTTGGACCCGCCCTCCCCAGTCATGGAGCTGCGTGAGTGTGGATCGCCACACCCCTTCTCCGATTTCAAAGGGAAACTGCCAAGAGCCACCAGATTGTAAACATCCCTCAGAAGTTTTGCATCAACTTGTTTTGTTGTTTGGATATCGGTGCGCATAGACGAAGTACTTGTTTTGCGTGTATGCTGAAAGGAAAAGATGATAACAGTGCCCCTGAGTTGATACATCATGGTTTCCTGCCGTAGACAGTGGGGTCGCCTCTCATACTCACTGGTAGTCATCGCGTGAATGCAGACAGCAAACCAAGTTCAAGTGGAAACCAGCCGCAGTATCCTTGTGAAGTGTTGTTGTGTACATGTATGTATGGTGCCCTCAAGCAGTCATGCGTGGAGCCATTATTGCAGGTGACAGATGGGAGACGGTCATTTTGTTTCGCCTCCAGCGTGCAAATTGTGCCGATGTTCAAATCGGGATCTTGTCAGTTCACCAACAGCAAGCGTCACCAGGGTTTGTGTAATACAGTGACAAGTCGCACACCTGCCCAATATGAGATTTGGCTGTCCTGGTACGACGCCTTTCGGAGAATAATAGATGCATCAGTAATTCTACAATGAATATCTGGATATTATCGGTTGCCTCCACCTCTTATCTTTGGAATTGGAAATACGACCCGGTAACAAAATCCAACGCGAGTTGCCTGAGCCATTTATCATCCGCCGTGAATTGATTGCACTGGAAGCATCAGCATTACACCTTGTGAATGTTTTTACCACAGACTGAATGTGTGTGCACTCTAACGTAATGTAGAGCTGCATGCACTCCTTCCTCGCATACGCTGCACACTCACTGCTGAAGTCGATAAAAAAAGCCCTTCAGTTTTGTTCCTGTTTATTGTTACCTGTTTTATATGGGGACGCAATCTTCCCTGAAATAGATCAGCGTGCGTCATCCCAGAGAGCGGTGTACAACAGTATCCTGTCCAAAGTTTCTCCAGCGGAAGACTTTTTATTTGAAGTCTATTTTCAAAACCCGTGAATGACAGTTCTGCGTTACCAGGACTGAGCAATTAAAAGAAGTTCAAATCACAGGAGGATGCTTCTCAAATTCCATCAGGCTCTGTCCTCATCTACAAAAGAATGGAGCGATTCCCATCTCCCTCCATCCACTACCTGCCTTTGGATGTATGTACATGTATATGTATGTTACTTAACGCGACAGATCAATTCATGTTTCTAATTGCCCGGGAGCTGTTGTGGTCGTTGAAAGGTTTTCAGGCAGGTAGACCGAGAGGCTGGAACAGTCAAAACATCCAGCCTGAGCTTGACAATGTAATTATACTGTAATGCCACTTACTCACTTCTTCATGAGAATTTATGTAGGTGAACAACTTTTTAATTGTGACAAAATGTTCGGAGCCTTGTAGATAGTAATTATCTCATAATTTGGGCTGCAACTCGGTGAACAGGCTAAATCTTTAGATTGGATGAATTTGATGAAATTGTGAAAGGTTTTGTTGTTTTTGTTAGCACTCTGTGTGTTATTAACTTATCAGAGCTTGCCAAGTATCTTAAACAGTCATTCACTCAGTGACAGAACTTGGATACATTTGGCTGGGGGCACAGGAGGGCCATCATTCTCTCGAGGGGAGTACCCCTCACAATCAAAACAAAGGCATGCCGTCAACAGATATGGTTTTCCCCTTCTCTAAAGGGAAAGGTGGCACATGGGGGCACAGGCTTTGGGCACTGGGGGGTCTCATGCCCCCCCCTCCCATTCCTCATCTGTTATGGCATTGCATTTGCTCTTCGGTGTTGCTGAAACATGTACAAATGTACATCGTCTGTTTCCAAAGGAAATCATACACGTATCAGGTGATGGTCAACTCAATATCACACACTCTCTGGCCATTGTCCAACATCCACTGCATTTACGTTAAAAAATGGATATGCATGTAGTACTGCAGAAAAATCTGTGATGATTTTGAAAAAGTTGGAGGAGTGGTGCTGGGCACTTGAAACAGCGATGAGTTGACTTAATATGAGAACACCTACCTTTTAAGGGTGTGTATTTGGAAACTGAAAACTTTCTTTTTAGACTGTACTTAAAAAAACCCCCGTCACTGATTCTTTTCAAATGCTGTGACACAGGCAACAGTCTCGTGGCGAGGGAAAGGTTCTGAGCAGATCAATTTTCCACAGCCCGGGGGGGGGGCCTCATTCTTGGCGGCTCAGTCAGTGATGTGATCAGGTTGTGATCCGTAGGCGCTGTGCATACCTGTAAATTGACTGTATCCATAGACAGATCTAATATATAGTAATTTATATTGTGCAGATTGGTCGGTGGGTGGGTAAGAGTGAGTCTGGTTAGTGCATGTATGCTTCTTGTGAATGGAGAATGCTAGCAAGTATTTTTTTAATTTCTGAAGAAAGGGGTTTTTTTTCCCTGATGAAATAGGCACTTGCATAAAGGTTCTTGGGAAAGTAGTTCAAGGATACCAAGGCTCATTTTTGCAATTTTTTTTTTTTTGGAAAGAGGGAAGCTTTTTGTTCCTGTTGAGAAAGTTTTAAAGTTTTGTCGGAGATATGCTGCTGTATAGGTTTTTGTAACAAGTGTATTTTTAGTGGAAGTGATTCTTGGTGGGATAATACGTGTAAAACGGGGGGAACCCCTGTTTATTCCTCACAGAAGGAGAACACGTGACAAAAGTTTAAAATACGCAACATTCCCCTTATATTGCTGTGTTCAGCTGTTGAAAAATGTGCTGTTGACTTTCCAAACGTGTCGTAACAATGAACTGAGATTAGTTTGCACTTTGAATGTGAAAGCCTAGCTGTCGTAGTTGGGAATCCCAGGGGATACAGTTGTGAGGAGATCCCGGGCTACTTCCAGGAAAATGAAATGGCTGAGAGGGAAACACCAGGAGTTCAGGGAAAACTTTGTGAACTTTTGGTTTCCCATCGTGAATTACTGGTACAAGTGACGTGATCCCTGTCATGATGTTCTAAAAGCTTAATATTTTTTGCGAATGAAGATGATGATGCAGTAGGGGCAAGTGTAGTTGCAGGTTACAATTCTTGCACTCCGTTGGGTACTTCGGAATCAAGGATAAAAATTCATCTCGTCTTTAGTTGGCCAGAGATACTCTCAAAGTGAGTCTGTGCCTGGATTGTGGGCTAAACAGGCAGGTCCCTTCCCATTTCAGCGTGTTCAATATACATGTAGTAAGAGGATTCAGAGGAATGATCAAAATAGCCATCTGGTGAATGAAGCCTGTGACAACCACAAAAGTCCAACTTCCAAAGTTAAAGTGCCTTCAGGTGAAACCACCCCTTTTTAGCCTCATGTTTCAAACACCAGGAATGAAGAACTTCAGTTCAATGTTCTTTTAATGTTTGTTTTTAGAAAGAAGTATGCCTATGCTTTTTGCTTTAGCAGACTGAAACCAGATTCACATGGCAGAAACTGTTCAATCAGAATATTGTTTACAAGTTTAATTAGTCGGATGATCACCATTGTGGTGTATTGACAATATTGGTAAATAGGTCACACTACTTTCTGATACTGCCGAGTACTTCCTGGTGTTTCCCCCACTGTCCCAAGAAATGCAGCAGATTCCTGGAAAGAACGACACGTGTAACATGCTACACACTGCCCTCTATAATTCCAATTCAAGAGGCCATGCTCCTGCAATTTCAACCACGGAACATGACTTTGTCCCAGCTGGTAGCAAATTGATGCACTTCAGCGTTTGAAGCTGTCAAAAGTCTGGCCCTCAGCTGTAGTGCAGACAGTTTGAATTTGAAGAGATTTGGGAGAGTTTGTTGTGCAGAGCAACTCTAGAGTTACTTGGGGATTTCCAATTTCTAAAGTTCTAATACGTGTACAGCCTCTAGCACAAGGGTGACAAAATGATACCTCAAAAAATAACCAGCCATTCAAAATATTTTTAAAAATTATTCTTATATTGAATGCTGGTAGAATAACAAACCAGAAATCGCTCACCGGTGGATGGATGGCTCTGGTTGTGAATTATTGACCATTGTGAAGTAATTTCATTTATTTCACATGAAGGACAGCCTAGAAGCTTTGAGGAAATGTGAAGGGATGGTGATAGTTCGGCAGGGGGGTCAGTTTGGAAGTACACATTACATTGAGAGTTGCCAAGTGTTGAAAGTTTTGCCAAGCAGAAAATGTAACCAGTAGAAATTCTTTAACAATGGGTTGGTGGGTTCTGTTCCAGCTGGTGCTTGACCAAATTCTGCTGTGTGTACTAAACTTTCCAAGCAATATTACGCTTAAGCAACTCTCTCGGCCCTGGATGTAAGTTAGCAGTATGGATGTTTCAGTTGAAGTGGTGCTACGTAAAACATTTGCAATCATTTACTTTGTGCATTATCTTTTGCCAGTAATGCACGTTATTTATATTGTAGAAATTTTTGGTTTCTTTCAGTTAACATTTTTGAGGATTTTTGATTTCTTGTTTAAGAAAATATTGACTTACATTAAGATTCACAAAGGAGAAACATTTTAATTATGTGCACAAGTGTACATTTCCCTGTCGACATTCATGCCAAGAATGAACACTATCCCATGTTTGTTGTTAAACTCCATGGTACATGTATTTATACTTTCAGATCCAAGACTGTGTTTCTGGTAAAGTGAAAGAACGTAATCTACTTCCTAAATGACATTTCCCCCAAACCATTCAGTATGTTAGTATTCCTGTGGTTGTGCATTGTACCAGCACAGTGTGATCACAAGTCACATAACCCAGATACTGCAGCTGCGTTTACTTATTCATGAGGTGAGATGCCTCAAGATTGTGCAGAGAGGTACATACTTGGAGGTTCGCTGGACAACGCATCAAGTGCATTACAGGGCAAGTGCGACTGGTCGACTCGAGTCAACTTTTGCCCCTAAAGGGGTACATCGTGTGCATTTATGTAACTTGATAACTTCATAAGGGAGAGGCGCGAGTGCATATTTGCAGGGCTGTAGTTGAGTGCATGTACAATGCACTTGGCATTGCCTCGAAATGTGTATATTGCTGGAGTTTATATTGCCTTCTCCATGCGCAAGATGTCTTTAAGGGGCTGTAACCCATCCATTCCTTAAAAAGTGCAAAATATTCTGAGAACCAAGCATTTTGATTTGCCACAAGCAACGAATGTGTCGGGTTTGCATGCAGTGGCCTGTTTAAAATGGGCCTTCATATTTCGGGTGGGAAAAAAATGACTTCAACTGTCAATAATGTGTCTGCATTGAATGCCCAATATGCATATTACAGACACATGAGGGTAAAATCAACCATGGTTTTGATATGTGACCGCTGATTTCCTGCTTCATCAGCATATGAGAACATTTCAAATTGCCTGAATGCGATTGAAAAATAAGAAACCTTACCAGAAACACACGTTTTTTTCCCCATCTGTGTGTGATTTTTGTTTGTCTCACTGAAGTACACATTTCAACTGAGAGAGCTCAACTGTATTGATACATTATTTATGCTGTGGGCAACTATGAAAACCGCCACCAGATTGAGTTATAGACATTTGGGAGCTGCCTGCAGGTAGTCCAAATAAGATTTAGTGTGTCAACATTCTGAGATCTTTCTGATTTCAGTGTTTCAATATCAACCCGGGTTTAAGTGTTTCAATATCAACCTGGGTTTAAAGAGACACAGATGATGGATTCTACCCACCAGTAACTGATCAGGTTGTCAGTTCTGGTTTGTATGAGCCATTAATTTCCTTCTGTATTCACAGACAATTTTGTTCTCTCTCTTTAGGATTGAATTCCATTACAGTGGTTTACAATCAGGTCTTTGGAAAATGGTCAAAAATATAAACTATTTTGAATTAGAATCGAACACACCATTGTAGATTTCTAACAATTAAGAGATAGTATCTTTTGCAGCCAGAGATCAATGTGCTTATATCATGATTTTTTCCCCAAAATCGGACTGCTAAAATCTGTTGTAACTTCAGTCCCAGTTTGGATGGTATTGTGTGATCGTCTTTTAATAAGTGCAGAAAATATTTTTGTAAAATGAATTTACATTTCTGTCCCATCCCCAGCCCAGTTGGTGATAGGGTTTTTGAATCTCAGTCTTGCAGCCTCATTTGAGAATATTTCCCTTGAATGAATTAACACTGACATTTCTGTTGTTGCACACATGAAAAAAAATGTATCCATGAAATGAATGTTGAGCATCTGTGGAATCCAATTTGACATTTTTATCCATCATTATTGGACCTTGCTGTACATACTTGGCCTGTAATACCCTGGAATACAGACTGTTGTGTAATAAAAAATGACATGAATCTATTTGTAATATTGAAAACTCCCAAGTGTCTGGCTAGTCCTTATTTCTTCTGTTCCTGTTTTGCTAAGCACGGAGTATTCAACTGTCCAGTCTTCATCCACTGAAACCATGACATCTGGGATTGATCTGATGACTGATAAGCTAGCAAGCAAACCCAATGATAGCCATTTCTGGCAAGGTTTAGTATCTTAATTTTAAAGTGAACTTTTCCTGCGGGCAGTGTTTATTTGCACCACCTTAAATCTTTGTTGTCTGTGTCCCATTCAATAAAAAGTATTTTTAAGACCGTCACAGCTCAGATTACGTGCTCTGAAATGAACCTTATTCACAAGGAAGCCATTTTGGCCATGTTCCATGAATATATCTTATTCAATATAATCTGTCAAATGGAGAGTTGACAGACTAATATTTTGGGTGTCATGCTTCACTTTTCTCATGTTGCTAATGAACATTTCGATGTAATAACAAACTTTAAATTATCCATCTTAAATTAATCTGCAGTCGTATTGACATCAGTTTTGTGAAAATCGGAATATACCTTCAAAGCCAATTTACTGAGACAGGTCGGTCAAAAAATATAGTTTTCCCGTGCTGGTCGACATGCGTGTGGCCATGAACTTTAACCAAACTCATACATCAGATTGAGTTAAAAATTCACATCTGTACTGACGAGTGTTTTTCCATGCATGTAAGGTTTCAGTCATGGGACAGCTGAGTTCTAAATGAATTCAATTATGTGTGGAAAAGCAGACACCAGGAAGTAGGGAAAGGTCATAAAAGCGTACATGTACATGTATTTGCTGTTATTATCATGGCTGAACCTATTCATGCAAGCAATATTACAAAAAAGGTATTATTAAGCAGGAAAAAGTATTAAACGCAGTAAATGGAAACTGAGCCGGTGGTATGCATGGTAGATGGGGGATGAAATTGTCCACCTTTATTGTTTGGGGTACGGTATTTTGTTTTTGACCTAGAATGACAAAACTTTCAAGTTTCAAGTCGCACTCAGCATTGTCCCTTTGTAACAACTAAGGAAGGTAGGTACTCTGGCAAAGCCATGGTAACCCTAACCGCCAAGCATATTGTTTGGCTTACAGTACTCAGTACTACAAAATACTAAGTAATAGCCTGAGCCTGAAGGACCTAGCCCTACAAATTACTACTTCTGGCTAGGTTACTTCCATTGTTACTTGTACAGAGAACAATAAAGCCATGCATTCATAGTGCCACTGTATGGTACATTGTCTTTTCTATTGTATTTTATGGCTTCACAGAACAATGCGGTCATGTCCTCTTACAGGTGACAGGGCCGATTAATACATTTTACTACAAGTAGTAATTTGTACTGTTATTTACAGTTAATGCCCAGTTGAGAATACTGTGAACCGTGATTCCAAGGTGGGGTATGTGTGCATTGCAGGGAATTTGCAGAATTGAACACTTCAATTAACTTTCAACCCCTGGTACTTTTTTCAACTTTGATTTTAGAAGGCCAAACTTCAGAATAACTAGAGGTTAACAACTACATTAAAACAAAAGAATACAAATTACAAGTTAATGAGATGACAACTAGATTAATGTGATTGAACCTGCACTGTTTATAAGTACTTCGGTTGTTTCAACAAACCATTTCCCTGTACAATCCAGTTTGTATGAAATGGATAGCTGCTTCAGCTAGATTAAGCCATACAAGAGCATTACAAATGGATTCTTGTCCGAAATTAAAGAAACTACATGTATGATATAAATGGGACTAGCAGCTTGTGTTTCAAATACACAAATGGTTTTTATGGAAAGCATGGGTTCTCCTTCAACATGTCGATGGAAACACTTCTTATTGTTAGGAAAGTCATAACCAAGTCGTGGGAATTGAACTTTGTCCCTGCATTACTCTTGGTATCCATAATGTCAGTTCTCAACGTGTGGATTCCCACAACTATGGAACAAGCACTTGTGTTCCTGTTAATCTGCTGTCTAAATGTAGATTGGCCGTTCCTTCGAGGAATTGAGAGCATTTTCTTACTTCCAAGAGTAGCTCGCTTATAGGAGGGGACCGCATTTACAGTGGTGGCACTACACTGACGCATGTATTCTTAAGCTCGCGGCACACGTGCACTATGGCAGATCTCAACATCCTATTGATCAAGGAGGTACCTGTGGGTAATGTGCATATCAGCTGCATTAGTGTGGTACCTCTGCAGTAAAATGCTTTCTAATTCCAGCTTCCGGGTTTGTCTCTATAATATTCTGTCCAGGGTTCCAACGGATATCTGAAGGCCAGTTTCCATGGCTTTTCCAGGAATAAAAATTGGATTTTTCCATGTCTTGCCATTTTGCTGAGAAAAGTTGTTCGGTATTGTGAACTGGACGACTGCCACAGCCGCTACTACAGACTGCCAGGGATAGCCTGGTAAATTCATCATTAATCTGTTGTAACATCAAAGGCAGCCCATGAAAAATTAGCCTTGCACGATCTTGATTTCCATTTCTTTTCCATGACCTTTTTTCCCCCTGAAAACAGGATTCCATAACACCCTTCCCCCCAGTTTTCCATAACGTTTCCATGTTATTCCAGGACAACTTTTACCCCCACAATTTTCTGTGACTATGGGAACCCTGCTGTCAGTTCCAGTTATCGGATGCTGCTTGAAGTTGACAAATTAAAAAAAAAAAAAGGCAGCTCTGTCACGCTTTCCCTGTTACAGGTTACTCGGACTTCTTTCTCTTTTTCTTCTTCTTATCCGTTTTGGGCGTGGCAGTCTCCATCTGCTCCTCTGGCCCAGCATCCCCGCCCCCGACTTCAGAGTGGCGTTTCTTCTTCTTCTTGTCCTTCTTGGGTGTTTGTGTCTCCGCGGCAACCTCTGCCATGCCCTCTTCGTTCTCTTTGTCAGCGTGCTTCTTTTTCTTCTTCTTGGGGGGTTCATCTGTTGCCATGGCAACCTCCACATCCCCGTTGACTGCCTCCTCCTGTAACACCGTGTTGGCTTCGGACTTCCTCTTCTTTTTCTTCTTCTTGGGGGGTTCATCTGTTGCCATGGCAACCTCCACATCCCCGTTGACTGCCTCCTCCTGTAACACCGTGTTGGCCTCGGACTTCCTCTTCTTGTTCTTCTTCTTCCTCTTCTTGGTGGCAATTTCTTCTGCAGCTCTGGCCTGGGGGAACACATTTGGACCCAAACACTGGCAAATTTCTTTCTCAGCAAGCCCAGACAATGAAGCCTCACACGAGTCAAGTGATCTTTGAATGTAACTTCAGCCTAGCAGCCTAACTGGCATGCACCATTTTGGCAGGTCAATTAGAAACTTGTAGGCCAAGGAATACAACACAAAACATGCAAACATATACTCTATAATTGGTAAATCATGCAGTTATCACGAACTATGTTTTGACTGTTAATTCTTGACCCGATTTGTCTCAGTTGTATTACACACTGCACTGTTTACTTAAACCAACATCAACAAGGCACTCCAGGCATAGTTTGTATTGGCTAAAAGATAGGAACTCTTTACAGGTCATTTTTTTCAAGCAGTTCAAGGTATGATGATACTCAAATTCCAATGTAGCTGATCTGAACTAGCTTGAATACTGACATTTTAAAGAATGTGAGCAAATAAGAACAGGAAGTGCTGAAACCTTTTTCATTTCTCTGTACATCTCAACCACCCTACCTCTTTCACGGCTTCCACCATGACATCGATGTTCTTCCGGGGAGGTTCTCTCGTCTCGTAGAAAGATAGGCGCTCTTCCACTTGGTCCTTGAGCTTCTCACCAAACACGGTCGTCGGGAAATCTGGAATAAAACAGCAAAAGCAAAACCAAAAATCTCCAGTGAATTGCCACTCCACTTTGGGTTTAGGGAAAACGGAACACTGTCCAGGGCTGACTGTCAACCACTCGACCCAGGGATTCATTCATAATGTTCCGGCCCAGGATCATGTCGTCCAAAAAACACTCCTTTGAGAAAGACAAGATCCACTGGGTAAGACATTTATGACACATGGTCTACTTCCACGGACTTGTGTGTTTACAAGACTAACAGGAAATTTAATCATATCGACATGTCCTCCATGAAAGTGTTGCTGAAAGTCAAATCCTGGGCTCACAAACCCTGAGGCGGTAACTGGTGGAAAAATTGGTAAAGTGCTTAGATTTGGCACTGAAAGCATGCTAAATATAGAGCAACTGCTAGTTGCTATAATAGGTTTCTTATGCATGGCTTGTGCTTTCGGAAAGAACTCCAAACTGTACTGACTTGGAAGAGCCAATTTCCTTTCTCCAAACTAGCAATGTGCATTAAACGACTAAAAGTTTTGCTCATATTTGGGACAAGCTCCAACCTGCAAAGCAATCGATCCGTGAGGCGATGGAGCACTTGTTGGCCAGGTAGCGAGAGATGCGCCCCTTGTTCTTCTGGCTGGCTCGGCCGATGAATGTGGAGTGGAAGATGAGGCCATACTTGGGTGTGTTACCACGGGTCTTCAAGGCTCTAAAAAACACCAAGTAAAGGTGTAGTTTCAGTGATTCTCTCAATCTTTACGAAGCTCCTTGGGCACATTGGGTTGACTGGAGATAGTGCTGGGTTCTATGAATGAATATCATCCACTCTTCAACCTAGCCAGCTGCGGCTCAAACATTTTCTGACATATGTGTGCGTGTTTGTTTGTTTTTGGCATGCAAAGTTTTTGTAATGCCATTTTGAGCAGAATGTCTAAATGCCGCAGAACTCTCGGAGCCGCAATGCCAAAATAAGGGGGACCTTTTCTCCAAGCGGAGAAAATCATCACCACGTCAATTCCTGGAGTTCCCCGGTCATGCCTGAACCGGTACAACTGTTTTTTTTATGGTAGCGTAGCCAATACATCCCTCAGGTCAAACTACAATTCATTATGCTGCTGTGGAAGTAGTTTGTAGCTACACCCCCCCAAATAACTCCGAGCAGAGAGGTGAATGATTTTTACTACCAGGTCATTTCCCGGTCATATGGGCATCTTGGGGTTACTGATCTTTCAACACT